ATATATAAATTGAATTTTGGGAAACTTTAATGGTGCTGCCAACTTTGGAAAAAGTCATCCCAATTTACTGTGTTGACTTGGCATTGTACAGAAATGGGCAACCATATTGGTCTAGAAATGTTAATTTATTTTTATTTTTTTTCCATGTGTACAGGGGTAACACATCATACTAAATATGTAAGGTCACATCTACGTGGGTTTGATTATAGAAACTAATAAAGTATTCTCTAAATAATGAAAAAAAGAATAAGATAACTCTAAGAGCAAGAAGCAATTTAAATATGTTCAGGGACCATTTTCATCTCCAGAATTAAGGATTATTTTAATGTTACATCATTGCCTTTTCTCTTTTACTTTCCTTTTTAGTTTTATTTTAGGATTTCCTATTTCATGTTTATCTAATGAGATAATTAATAATGTGAAATAGGAAGTACAGGGCTAAAGGTGTAGGGAAAGTGGGAAAGGTGGCGGAAAGGTAATAAGAGGAAAAAAATATGAGAAACAAAAAATGGAAATAAAGTGTGTGTAAATGGGGAGGGGAGGAAGGGGTGAAGGGAGGGCAGGGACAAGGGGAAAAAATGAGAATCAAGACCTATTATGTAAAGGTGCAGAATCCCAATGATGAATGTAACTGTATTGTATACCTAGATTGTACCAATAAACTCAATAAAAAGAAAAAAAAGTAAATGGCACTAGGTTATTGTGGTAGCTATGTGTAACAGTTTTCCAAATTGGCAATTTTTATTTGAAGTCATTTTCAGTGTTTTTAAACACTGAGTAACAAGAATTAACTGTAGGGCTGGGGATTTAGAGCTCAGTGGCATTGGGGCCTGCCTCAAAATCAAAATTCCCGAGTTTGATCCCCAGTACCCCCCCAAAAAAACTGTACATAATAGGATTCAGTGTCATATTTTGATACATTTTGAAGCATACCTTGTATCTATCCACAAAAACATCAATTTCAGAAAGAATGTAGCTTTAAATATGTTGAACTTTTATGATATTTATGACCTGAACAGGGAAAGATTTCGTAAGCACATGGCAAGAAGCCAACTATAAAGAGGCTGATAAATCAGACTACATTTAAATTAGTTTAATCAGAGGCCAGTCAGCATGAGTAGCTGTGTGACACGCAACTGGCACAGGACTGTCATCCAGCATCTGAAGTCCTATAGAGCAGTAAGAGACTGACACTAGTAGAAAAATGGGTATAGAACCTGAACTCTTGATTTGTATCCAAATGGCATTTTTCTTAAGTAAATGCAGCTTCAACTCAAGATACTACCCCTCCTTGGCCGCCAAAATTAAAGACTGACAATTCCAAGTGTTCGTAAGAATGCAGAGCAACGAGAACTCTTACTTCCTGATGAGGGGAGAATACTGTGCTTTCGTGTACACCGGGGCCCAGAGCTGGTGTATTCTAGGAGGGCGCATATACATCAAAAGACATGTACCAGAAAGTGGGTGATATCCAGCATAGGAAAAAAACACTTGAATAAAATCTCGTGAAATACAGCAGCCATGGCCAGTGTTATTTCGTGCCACCCGGGACTCCCTGACGTCACAGCTGGGAGCTGCCCAAGTGAGACTGGCACTGCCCTCCCCAACCCCAGTCTCACAATCGCACAGTCGGGGCTGTGCCCAAGTCTCCCAGACTTTCATCTGGGTTTCTGTTAATTACAGATTTCCATTACGGAAAGCAGCTGCCACCGGGGTCTTTCCAACGTCTCCTGGCGTCCACCTGATGGACAGAGCGGATGACGGTGCCCTGGGGAGGACTCGGCCCTGCTGGGAGGGGGGAGAGGAGCAGGAACCTGGGTCTCGGGGACCCCAGGAGCCCGCTCTGGTTC